AATTGTGATAGAAAAAAAGCCAGCAATAAACGCTAGTATCCCTTGCACGTCAACACCTCAGCCAGCGGCGGTGACGGAAACGTGGTCATCATCAACACTTCGGCTGAAATATCTGTAGGGAGCTAACATATATTCAAGGCAAGCGAATGTCCTTTCGTGATTTGCGAGATAATAAAATCTTTTGTTATGCAGTATTGATGGAATTGGAATGTCAAGGTCACGGGTCGAGAACCTATAGCTTTAGGAAACAGGGTTTGCTCTGGACATAGTGACTGGATGACCCCTGGAATGTGCTTTCAATTTGATATCGCTGGAGGATTTTGGATGGTTCATCAGCAAACGTCTGCCGAGTGGGTGGAGGGTGGAGTTGATGTAACCGGAGTTATGATGAATTTCGTGAAGTAGGGTAACATTGCTATTGTTTGTTTGTTGTTTAACGCTGCACCAAGATGTATGATGTATGACGGCGGCCTGTAAATAATCGAATCTGGACCAGACAATTCAGTGATTAATATCGTGCTCTACGATCCATGCCGTCGGGGTTCTTTGACACAAAAATAACCAAGGCACCGACCATGGCAAGCCGATCCATTAAGTCGCCCTTTACGGACTGCGTGCGTTGCTTGGGGCTTATGCTAACCCACAATACTAAGGGGGCAAATGCATTGCCATTCACAAAAGGACAAAATGTTTATGCCCATCTGTCATGTAGTCCTATGGGGGTGGCCCAGTCGTCTATGGCGCCGCGATTCGCTGTGCAGATTTGCGTCCCTTGGGCACGCAAGAAACCTAAGATTGTGGGTACGAATCCCGGTTCGCCCCGATTATGTTTCTAGGTGTGTCAGCACCATGCCCGTGCTCGTGGGTTTCACCGAAACGGTAAACGTCTGACACCTGCATCACTTCGGGCTTTCCTCCCACATTAAGCTGAACCGCCGCGATGTAACTGGAAATCTGTTAAAAGCGGCGTTTAATCCAACTCAGAGGAAAGGAAAGGAATGTAGTCCTATGATCAGGATACTGCTGTGCAGCATTTAGGAAAAAAACAACAGAATTTTATGTGCAAAGTGTGTGTGAGTGTTATGGGGGCTACCGGTGGAGCTGGACAAGCTTATCCTTTTAGCGAACATCACTGTTTCACTGATCCATTCTTATAATGTTCACAACTAATTTTCTTTTACGCCCACTGGAATATGTAAAAAAAACGGGTAATTCAGCTATTATAACTAATCCGCAAGCCTCATTTATACCAATTACATGTACATTAAGCTTGGACATATGTTAAGGTGTGTTTTAGGACCTTTTTTGTTTTTGTAAAATATATTGTCTTTGGGGCGATGAGACATATAACCAAGAACAAGGTGGCACTCTGTTGCTCGAGTTTGGGATACCTCTGTTAAAAGAAGTTGTGAAACGAACATTACGTTCCATGTGCACGTTGGCATTGATATATTTGTGTAGGCGTTGGACCAATTATTGATTGGTTGATTTTATTTTCGTCGGAATAACTAATGTTACGCAACAATTCTTCAGTTATGGCAATGCACATGGTACTAACGTGTGAGGGAAATCCGGTGGCGTAGATCTAAGGTTTGGTTTGGTTTGGTTTGGCTGTTGTTTTACGTCGCACTCAGCATTATTCCAGTTATATTACGGCGGTCTGTAAATAATCGAGTCTGGACCAGGCAATCCAGTGATTGATATCATGAGCATCGAGCCACGCAACTGGGATCAATGACATGAATCGACCAAGTCAGCGAGCCTGACCACCAGATCCCGTTAGTCGCCTCTTGCGACAAGCATAGTCGCCGTTTACACCGGATCTTTACGGGTTTAGATCTTAGGAGTCTACCACTTTTGTGCAACCCACTAAAACGACTATGGTCCTGACAGACCAACGATCATAGTCAATGTGAACGAGAGATTCGCTCTAAAGTCTTGCGGATCTCGCACATAGAACTCTGAACAGCGAATGAAGGATAACAACATGGGTTCATTTCCCGTATGATGCCACAATCAGACGATTCTGGGAAGGTTAATGGACGTATCTCTCCACAGCGACACGCTCCGCCTTATCCCATCCAGCAATACGACTATGAACGATCCTAAGGCATAGACATTTCACAGAATACTTGAGCCTTTAATATTGTTTCTTCATATTGCCATTTAAACTGATGCAGTAAAATAGTATCTTAACAGTATCAATAGTAATAGTATCAAAACAAGCGCATAGAAGACATAGAAGAGTTGGTTACTAATAACTGGGATTTAACACGGCTTTGAACAGTATTTCAGTTATTTTAGGGAGGGAGTAAGTGAGTTGGGGTCAACGCCGCTTTTAACAGTATTCCAGTTATATCACGGCGTGTCAGCTTGATGTTGGAGTATAGCCCAAAGTGATGCAGGTCTTAGACGTTAGCCACTTTGGTGAAACCCACAAGCACGGGTATGGTGCTGACAAACCTAGAAACATAATCGGGGAGAATCAGGATTCGAACTCACAACCACAGCGAATTGCGGCGCCTTAGACGACTGGGCCACCCGTGCCCACAGTTATATAATGGCGTGTCTACTTGACATGGCGGGAAAATATTTACATTTGTAATGTTTATTGTCGATATAACATTCCTTTGACACACTATTATAACACGTGAAACATGTTTTGGAGTTCAATGTTTACATCAATTAAATGATGTTGAACAGAGTAAATTCCTATTGAACAGGCAGTAGTGTGAGTGAGTGAGTTGGGTTTAACGCCGCTTTTAACAGTATTCCGGTTATATCACGGCGTGTCAGCTTAAAGTGGGAGGAAAGCCCGAAGTGATGCAGGTCTCAGACGTTTACCACTTCGGTGAAACCCACGAGCACGGGTATGGTGCTGACAAACCTAAAAATTAATCGGGGCGAACCGGGATTCAAACCCACAATCATAGTTTTCTGGCGTGCCCAAGGGACGCAACTCTGCACAGCGAATCGCGGCGCCTTAGAGGACTGGGCCACCCGTGCCCCCTCACAGGCAGTAATCATAGTGTAGTCATGCTGCTGTAATCAGATGATGCCCAGAGAACACGGTCATCTAAGGCGCCAAATTTCGCTGTGTAGATCTATGGTTCGAAGCCCTGATTGTTCTAGAAGTTTCTAGGTTCGTCAGTACCACACCCGTGTTTTTAGCCCTCCACCACTTCGGGCTTTACTCACACATCAAACTATCCCTTTGATATACCCTAAAGACTGTTCAATGTGGCATTAAACCCAACTCACTCACCAGACAAATGAAAACGTACAATGTCATAAAAAACGGTTCATGTGGCAAAGTTCACTGAAGAGTAAAGGGCACGTTATTACACGAATCCATATTGTGTAATACAGTGAGTTAGTAAATGTTTTTCTCCGAAGTCTGCAAAATTGAAGCTTTACCCCCCCTAAAGAAACGCAAGGTACAATATCCTATGACTTCTGCAAGGCTTCAAAAGCGATACGTGGGACATGTGTGTGTTTGGTGATTACAAAGAGAAACAAAGTTCAGCAAACGTTAACGGATTAATCTTTACATGTGCCAGTTACATCACTATCTCAAGCATTGCAGTCGCAAAGCCTAGTATCGTGTAGCGAGTGTTTTTCATTTTCGGTGATCTATTCATATCATTTTCATCACTGTTTTGCCTTTACGCCAAAAGGAATCTGTTTCGGCAGATAACCGGGACTGATTATTCCCCAGCGTTGAAGTTTCACATCCTCACAAGCTCAGAGTAAATGATCTATTATCCTGAGTCAACTGCAGAAGAAATGCTTTTTGACTGATACTGCCCTTCACCGTGTTGCGGAGCGAAATTATTTCTTAAGTATTTTGTTCAATTCTGTCCCTGGATTGTCTGGTCGAGACTCGCTTATTTATATGCCACCGTCGTTTCGCAGGAACATTGCTGGGTGGGGCAGGGTAACTTATCCTTTTCGAGAACACCTGGTGTCAACACTGATGTTCAGTGATCCAATCATATAAGCTTCATCACTGTTGTGTCTTTTACGCCCATTGGAATCTGTTTCGCTAGATAATCGAGACTGATTATTCTTTGGCATTGACGATTTATATCCATTATTAGCATGAATGACTGTACGACACTTCCTGCCCATGGAACTAAGACGCCTGATGGTGAACCCTTATGGAATGACAGCCCATTCTTCCCGAAGAGCTTGGCGCCATTGTGGCCCTTGTTCACGTTGACGTGAACGTCTGTCTAGCTCACCCCACAGATGCTCATGTGACCTTGACGGCCATGTCAGTACGTTTAATGTTCTGAGCTCTCATCGTGTTATGTGGGGACGGGAGAGAAAAGAGAAAAGTAAATGAGAGCAGTAGCCTTTTTCAGGTCGAAAGCGATCAAGCCGAATTTCGTTTCTGATGAAGAAACATGTAGGCACCATCACATTATTGCAGTACAGTTTCCAACAAATGTTAAGCACATCTGGGCTTAAACAAATATATAGGTGAACAACCCACAAAATATCGAGATCAAATGTGACATGTTACAAACAATTTATGATGTAATTTCTATTCATTAACCCATAAGGCCATATCTCAGTTACCGGGGCACGGGTGGCCCAGTCGTCTAAGACGGCTCATTTCGCTGTGCAGAGTTGCGTCCCTTGGGCACGCCAGAAACCTATGATTGTTGGTTTGCAACCCGGAGTGGTGCAGGTATCAGAGGTTTACGTCTTAATGAAACCCACATGCACGGGTATGGTGCTGACAAACCTAGAAACATAATCGGAGCGAACCGGGATTCGAACTCACAATCATAGGTTTCTGGTGTGACCAGGTGACGTAGCTCTGTACAGCGAATTGCAGCCCCATAGACGACTGGACCATCCGTGCCCCGTTAATATATAATGTACATGTATTCGAAACATTGTCGAGTAGACCTGTTGTCTTCATTTCTTATGAGAATATGCGTTACGAAATGTTTCCTTATTTGTTTCCACGAATATACAGAAGAACTTACCCTTGCCGACGGAGAAAACTCGGAATCCCATGATATCAACGGTAATCCATAGTAATCGGCGAGTTGACTGATATATTTATGCGCACCTAGTCTCTCCTTCTTCATGGACAATGGGTTGTTTATATGGAACAGTACAACAGCGTTGGACGAGAATGAGGTATCACAAAACGCTTGAAGAATTTCGTTGGGTGTATCATCATGCAGAATAGTACTGCGAGCACTAAAGTCGAAGTAACGTAGGTTTCGGTATTTTCCTAACTTCCTCCTTGCACGAGGGGAGAAGTCGGCGAACAACGTCCTATTAAGCGTTTTGAAAAAGCCCCCTTCTGGTATAAGCGCATGAATCGCAACCTTTCTTCTTGTTGATCTGGACAGTTGACCATCCCCCCTTTGGCACAGAACAAAGGTCAGGAGGAGCAAGACAGCCTCCTGCCACGGCCACCACATCCTCATCTCGAGCCTAGCTGCACACAGAGGATCCTACACACAGAAGATGCGGCCACTCTTGTTCATATGCCATACCATCCTGAAAGAACAAAAACAGTCAAATAATGAATGAACAACGGTGTCCCAATCCCGCAAGCTTTCAGAATGGAAGGTGATAAATAACATTGATGAAAATACTATGAGGCACAGCGCCTCGTTTCACAAAGCGGTTAAAGCGCAAACTGTACCTTGACATAGACTTTCGACAGTCAGCTACCATCGCTTTGTGAAACGGTTCCCAGTACTGTTCAAAACAAGAGGTCATTTCGTCTCGAGGGCGCTACCTCTGAGAGCCTTGGTGGCATTGCCATTCAAAGCATGTCATGAATCCCGACGGTCCTGATGGGGCCTGGTTTCCTTTGTTTTATGTTTGGTTCGACCTTCAAAGACAGAGCCTAAAATACAGCCGTGGATAACAGCTCTAAAAACCCATAATTGGAACCATTGAAACAAAGGTGACCGTATCGTAAAACTTTCGCGAGCTGATCTCGATCGACGGGACGTTTTACTTAACGCGAGTGCGTGGGTGAGTGAGTATGGTATTCCGGCAATATCACGGCGGGGAACACCAGAAATGGGCTTCACACATTGTAGCCAAGTCGGAAATCGAACTAGGGCCTTCGGCGTGACGAGCGAACGCTTCAATCACTAGGCTACCTGACCGCCCCTTTTACTTAACAATTGTATATATTTTTCTTCATTTTAAGAAAGCAAGTCTATGGAGAAACGTAATAGCTAATGGGAAAATATGCGGTGTTGACGCCGCTGGTTTGAATGGACTTGTAGAATCACCTAACATTCAGAAATCAATGCAGCTCTGTCTCCTCAAGTCTGTGTACAGCTCCAAAACCTGTTAGTTATTCATAAGCTACACACATGTATGTCTGAGACAATGTTCATTGCGATTCAATATTTCTGTGTTTGCATGTTGAATCGATCAGGATAAGGTTATTATGCACTAATTGGTCTTTAAGGTAACTATTCAATCATATATTAACTCGCGTTAACCATTACAGACGCTTTTAACAGATGCATACTTTAGAATGCCTGAAGGCATGTCGTCTTTTTTCACATGTCCCAGCGAACACTGGGTCTTGAACTGTTGTTTGGCTGCACAAAACATGCTTCTAAAACACCGACATTGTTCTCTGTGCATAGCTTGTAGGTATGATTTAATGATAAAGCAAAAACCGTTGAGCGTAAACTTTGTTTTTGTAGGTAGAACGATTATGTTGTACCGAAAAGAAGAGAAAGTTGAGAACAAAGTAGCACCAACCCTACATAGTGTCACCATGTCAAACCGACTCTGTCGCCTGGGGGATGGAGCGTCTGCCCCGAGAGCGGAAGGTAGGCAGTTTGAGTCCCGGCCGCACCCTTCCAAACGGCGCTACAAGATAATACATGCTGTTGCCTGGGAGAAAGGCAAGGACTGTTCGGCTCGGAGTCAGTATACTGTGTTTGTGTGGGGTTAATGCAGCATGGTATCTCATTGGACTAGAACAACATTACCGGCATTAGTCCGGACTACAACAAGTAGACCCCATCCACCTACACACCTACACACCAACACATGCATGCACGCCGCTATGTAATAAGTGCTGCCATCTAGAACTAGACTTTAAACCCCATTTCACCTCATTTCACTTCATCGGACCATGACGAACAGAAGGGCATGTCGAACATTGCCAGTGTACAACATTTATTCAGTTAAGCTGTGCAAATTATGGAAACCTTTTAAGGCCATCTGCTTTTCTATTTTTGTCTTGCAATTTCAACTTAGTATCTTAAAATTTCAAGACAAAAATAGAAAAGCAGATGGCCCTAACATATATGTTGAAATTTCAAGATACGTAAGTTGAAATTTTCAAGATGATGATGGCCAAAAATGGCTTCCGAAGGAGAATTGAATGATCCGTTGTCTCTGGACGTCCCATCAACAGATCTTTTAACCCTCGTACATAAGCAACAAATGTAACTAAAATAAAGATAAAAAGTGACATATTCGAAAATATTCTCGTTCATACATTTATAAAAGCCGCTGTTCCAAATACGTCTCTGTGATCATGATATGCAATATACAGTGTAGGCGTGTTGTGCCATCTGCTACATATAATCACTAACCCGATACGATACGATACATCATGACGTGCAACATCATTGCATTTATTAACTGCTTGTAGGTGGACCTAGGTAACATCTTGTTGATACACCACTATACCTACTGTAAACGTATTACATATGTGTAGAGTATATTTGTATTGTATCATATCTTAATTTCAAATGCAAACAATGATCACATTCCATCAGTCTGAAGCATACAGCACTGACAGAAACGTATCGCCATCACAGATCTGTAAGTTTTTAAAAATACTGTTAATAATAAATAAACTTAATGAAAATGTGCATGAGAATGAAAAACAGCTCTCACAGTGACGTAAACGGTCGAGGCACACGGTGCCCTCGTAACCGTTTTTATTCCATGTGTTTCTTGGTTACATGTAACAAGTTAACTGTGAGTGAGTGAGTCAGTCAGTCAGTCAGTCAGTCAGTCAGTCAGTCAGTGTGTCAGTCAGTGAGTCAGTCAGTGTGTCAGTCAGTCAGTCAGTCAGTCAGTCAGTCAGTCAGTCAGTCAGAAATAATGCCGTGTGAACAGTATTTCATTTATATCACAGTGTGCCACCTTGATGTGAGCGGAAAACTCAAAGTGAATTTAGACGTTTACCACCTTATTGAAACCAACGTGCGTGGGTATGGTGAAGACTAACCTTGTAAATATAACCTAGGCGAATCTGGGATTCAAACCCACATAGGTTTCAACATCATAGGTTTTTGGCATGCCTAAGGGATGCAACACAGTGAATTGTGGCCACCCGTGTCCCCTGTCATTGTCAAAGTAATACAGTCAGCATTGTAGACGCAATAAGTATTGACGTCACAATAGCTCAGTCTTCATGACACGTTGACACGATTAGCCACCCGGTCCGGTTTTTTTTCTAGATTTAAACATACATTTTAAAGAAAAAAGAAACTGTACATGTGATTTTATTTATCAGTTGAGGTTTCAATTCGTGCCTGGTATATATACATCACTGGGCACCAAAAGACACTGTACACATGAGATTATCTCAAGCACGTTTTTTTTGTGCCTACTATATAAAGAAGACAACTTCCTCTACTGCATCGGAATCTTCACTATCACGACGTGTAGTGCATACAGATAAAGGCATATAGTAGGATGACGCTGCACCTGACACATGCCATGATCAATACATAACGTTATGAAAGTAAAGACAAAATCATGTTTATCAAATCATATTATGTACTGCTTGCCTTTGCCTTATGGACATCCATACCGAATCAACTTTTGACTGCCTGTATTAAAAATTACAATTATTCCGATTGAGTTGTTTGAATACTGATGTAATTCCAGTTCCCATATTTTTTTGGTAATCACTAAACATACAAATTGAGTTTCGAAGAACGTTCAATGATACTAATTTCAAAGTTCCAATCCCATTCAACAACAACAACAACACACACAAACACACAAACACACACACACACCCAAACACACACACACACACACACACGCACGCACGCACGCACGTACGCGCGCACGCACGCACGCACGCACACGCACACACACACACACACACGCACACACACGCACGCACACACATACAATATATGTGACGTTTGGGGGTGAGCATTCAACAAACATTATAACTCCATTCATCGTCTATTCCAGTGAACAGTCGTATGTACATTGTGATTGACACGAGAATAAACACAGCTGTTGTTGGGCTTGCAGGTTTCACATGGTCGATGGACAACAATGACGTCTATTCAGGATCAAACAGACGCATACAATACCGTGTATCGGATTCGTCAAAAATTCTACTCGTGATATTGTATCAAGGTTACAAAGATTAATGACGAGTGACAACAATAGGTTCATTGTTCATAACGGAGAATGTTTAACATGCACCATATCTAAGCAGGTGACAGCTTTCCCTTGCTCGGTATCAGTATCATGCCTCAAGCCTGACACATATGGTAGTCTAAGAACTACTTTCGCTACATATATCGTGCATTTATAAAATAGCAATATAAGAGAATATATAATTATTTTTAAAAAAAACAGGCGAGCCAGCCTGCAGTTTTAGGTTTCATTCCTACACACCTTCGGCCTCAAAGGGTTGTTTAGACAATGAATATGCATGAATTTCGCTAAATGTCCTGTGCATGACGATACACGTGAACAGCCCTCGACTGTAATATTGAAATTCCCCGACATTTCTTAGTAATCTTAGTAGTCCGCTTCAGTGGGCGTGGGTTAATGGTGTACATTCATTGGGAAGTGAATGCAATAATACGTGACCACTACAGCTAATCAGAATGCAGGAATTTCAATGAACACAAGGAAAATTTTAATTATTCAACTTAAATGTCCCGTTCTCAAGGCATATAAGAAGAGTATTTTGACATCGTAGTTACTTTGGTTTTTTTCTACCTACCTACCTACCTACCTACCTACCTACCTACCTACCTACCTACCTACCTACCTACCTACCTACCTACCTACCATGTACCTACCTACCTACCCACCTACCTATCTACCTCCCTCCCTCCCTCCCTCCCTAAACAATCTGATTATTTTTCAGACGATATCTAATCTGCTGGTGTGCATGCGTCTTGGCATTGGGGCCCGTTAACTACAGAATGCACCAGCTTGGGATGACATTAACGGTAAACGTTTCTTGTTAGTTAAGATACAGGATCAATACTTCCCACTTCCATCTTTTGATTATACCCCAACTGTACATTCCACGCATGACGAAACTACTGCACGGTGACGAGTTTGATGCCAGTGCACACCCCGACAGTTCTCATAAATCAACAACTGTATCACGTTTGTGAAATCATGCACGTGTTAGATTCATCTTTTTAATACCCAACTGAACACCTCTTTGAAGAAACTTAAGTGCACGTACATGTATGTGTATCAACGGTTCGTACTTTTCGTTCGGTACTCAGTTC